TGGAAGTGTTGGGGTCCAGCCCCAGCAGGTCCAGGGGTCCCCAAAGGTGTGGACGGAGTCGGCGAAGGAAGGACTCGGAGGCAGCGTTCAGTTGATCAACAGCCTAGCCAGGATCTCCAGCCAAGTTCTGGTCAGGATCTCCAGCCAAGTTCTGGTCAGGATCTCCAGCAAAGTTCTGGTTAGGTTCTCCAGCCAGGTTTTGTCTTGGATCTCCAGCCAGGTTCTGTCTAGGTTCTCCAGTCAAGTTCTAGCCAGGTTCGGTCGCCAGGTTCTGTCCAGGTCCTCCTGCCATGTTCTTTCTCTAGGTTCTCCAGCCAAGTTCTGTAGCCATGTTCTGTCCAGGATCTTTTGCCATGTTCTCTCGCTAGGTTCTCTCTCTAGGTTCTGTGTCTAGGTTCTGTCTCTAGGTTCTGTCTCCTAGCCTATTTTCTGACATATTCATTCTCAAAGGGGCAGTGTCGCTGAGGATAAGCTCTGGAATCAGACTGCCTGGGTTTCAATCTTTGCTCTGCTGCTTACCTATCAGCTGTGTCCTTCTGCAAGTTACTAGGCCTTTGCTCATCTATAAAATGTTGGTGATTATAATAATACTAGAGGCCCGGTGCATGAAAATTCATGCACTGGAGGGGGCGGTCCCTCAGCCCGGACTGCCCCCTCTCACAGTCTGGGAGCCCTCAGGGGTGGGAGGCAACTCGGTGATCAGGGGAAGGCGATGCCCAATCACACCTCTGCTGCTGCCACTGCCAGCAGCGCAAGCCTCGGCCGGCCCTGGTTACCTGAGCCTCAGGCGTCCCTGGGCGGCTGGGCAGTCGCCATCCAAGGCTTGCCTGTGCCTCCGGCCGGCCCTGGGTGGCTCGGAGGAGGCTGAGACTGGGGGACTCCAGAGGCAGGCGTGCAGCAAGGCCTGGCGCCTGCTGCCCCAGCAGGGCTGAGGGGACTGGGTGCCACCATCTTGTGGCTGTGGGCGCCACCATCTTTGAGGGTGTGGCAGTCAATTAGCATATTTCCTCCTTATTGGCTGTGGGTGTGGCCATCTTTGAGGGCGTGGCAGTCAATGAGCATATTCCCTCCTTATTGGCTGTGGGTGCTGCCATCTTTGGGACAGTGTGAGGGTCAATTAGCATATTTCCTCTTTATTAGATAGGATCTCAGAGTTGTGAGAAAGAGTTAATACAAGGAAAGCCCTTATCATAGTACCTAGCATATTGGGCTCCATAAGTGAAGCCACTACTGTCAACAATGTCTTTATGCTTAAAATCAACTTAACGTGCATTTTTACCACCTGATTTTTGTGCATCAATGATGATGAAAATATATCTCCCTATTTGAGGGATGGGATTACCTTAAAAATAAGCTCTAGCCCTAACTGGTTTGGCTCAGTGGACAGAGCGTTGGCCTGCGGACTGAAGGGTCCCAGGTTCAATTCCAGCCAAGGACGTGTACCTTGGTTGTGGGCACATCCCCAGTAGGGGGTGTGCAGGAGGCAGCTGGTCGATGTTTCTTTTTCATCGATGTTTCTAACTCTCTATCCTTCTCCCTTCTTCTCTGTAAAAAAGCAATAAAATGTATTAAAAAAAAATAAGATCTACTAAAATATGTGTGTAACTATCCTATATAATAAAAGAGAAACATGTAAATTGACTGTCCCTCTGCTACGCACACCAGCCAATCAGGAGTGAGTATGCAAATTAATCAGACAAAGATGGCAGGTTAATTTGCATACACGGGCACTGGGCGGAGAGCAGAGTGGGAGAGTTGGAGGCTTGGGGGGACATGGCTCCCTCTGTGGCTTCTAGCAGCGTGGGGAGCACCAGGAATTCTGGGAATAGTAGTTCTGATGGCAGCCCCAGAACTGGGAGTGGAAGCCCAGAGCGTGGGGAGCACCAGGAATGCTGGGAATCGTAGTTCCAGTGGCAGACGGATCTCCTAGACACTAGTGCAGCGGTTCTCAACCTGTGGGTCATGACCCTTTGGCGGTTGAACGACCCTTTCTCAGGGGTCGCCTAAGACCATCCTGCATATCAGATATTTACATTACGATTCATAACAGTAGCAACATTACAGTTATGAAGTAGCAACGAAAATAATTTTATGGTTGGGTCACAACATGAGGAACTGTATTTAAAGGGCCAGAAGGTTGAGAACCACTGAAGGTGAATGGGCTAAAGCCAGCATACACCTGGGAGTACATGAGCAGGGAGAAGAGACCTTTGATCATAGCAAATCAAGATGAGCACAGGACTTGAGCACATACTGGGAAGGTGCCCAGGCAGGTGCTCATCTCTGAGGCTCTGTAAAAGGGACATGAGCACACGTTTCCTGCACTGTGGACACACAGCACAGACACAGACCAGCAGCTCTATCTCTTTTCTCCAAAGAGTCTTCTTAGGTGTGTAAGTAGCTTTGCTTTAACATTACGAAGGATAAGTTAAGTATATGCATGTAACACTGAGTAAAGTCACATTTTTATTTTAGAGACTGCCATATATGGAAGCTTTTTTCTTTAAAATCAAAGCCACGCCCCCATCCCAGGCAGGCAAACCTAATGGGAGCCCACCTGCAGTGAGGCGCTCCTACCTCTGCGTGCGCGTGCCCTTCCCTGCCATCTTCTCTCTGTTCCCGCTGTTCCTTCCACTCCCGGTCCTGCTCCTCTGGGGATGGGTCGTGTTCCTCCTCCAGACGTTCTGCCTGCCCCACCTGCTCCATCGCCTCCTCCTCCAGGGCCTTTCTCTGTTCCTCTTCCACCTGGTGCCCCTCGGGCTCCCTGGCTTCCGCCTGTGGCTGGTGGAGCTCTGCTGCCTGAAGTTCGGCCTCCTTCTGAGAGGGAGGATCCTGTTTTGTTTCCTCTGTTCTTCCAGCCACGGCTCCATGATCCTGCCACGAATCGCTGTTTCGAGACACCTAGGCCAAGCACAACCCTGGAAATGACACTCTTCTCTGTCGAAAGGAGTGACATTATTTCTTTATAACCATGTCTATGGGGTTACAATATGGGCATAATCCTGGAGTCTAGACATACACAGTCCTGACTCAAAAGTATGGCTGCAGTGAACTCTCCTCACTGCATAAGCTCACCTATAAAATAGAGCAGAAGCAAATTGCATCTGGGGAAGAACAGAGCAGATAACCTGAAAGTACACTCTGTAAGTGACCGCATCTCAGCGGCAACCTAGCCTCCGTTTTCCCTTAAAATAAAACGGGGGAAAAGAACTTCAAGGGATGAAACGTTGACATACTTCTCTCCCATGTAAACATTAGAATTTCTATGCTTTTCTGTTGCCCTGAATTATTTGTTTGTAATAGACTGCTCTTCAATTGTATATTTGTGTTAAAGATAACTCATCTTAGAAAATACTTCCAGTTCATATTGGAATGTGACTTGCATTTTAAGTTTTCATTAAACTTATAAACCATGAAAATCATTTCCGCTTCAGCAGTGAAAATTGTAATTCAATGTTCAATTGCCAATTTGTAAAATAAAAATAATGCACTTATAAACATTCCACAAATTTTTAATGATTGTTGATTACCCTTCTTGCCACTACAAGGAACGAGATTTTGAATAGATGTAATGTAGAGCTATCTTGTTTATGAAAGTCAATTCATGTAGTCTAACAATTGGCTCTTTATTTTTCTTTTCAATTTATTGCAGTTTGTTTTTGCCATTTTAGACTGAGTCAAACCCTGACGCATGCCACTAGACAGCATCAGATCATGTTAATAAAATGTGTTTACCCCAGCAATCCGCTAATTTGATTTTATTACTGGAATACAGATTATGAATTTCCAACCATTGTTTAAAATGTAGACGGTTTTCAAATCACCAACTTTATTTTTAAGGTTTTTGGTTTGTTTTTTTTAGATCATCATAGTTATAGCAGGATAGAAAGTGTACAGCAATATTAAGCAGAGAGTAAGGAAAAAAAAACTTTTGTACAGGAGAGAAAGTAATATTTACGGTTCTAGGGGTGTTCTGCCCTCTGGCTGCTCTTGCCATGCTGCAGAACAGATATCCTAGGACTTACCTTTGCGGACCATTTCTGAATTTTTACTGGCATGAAAATGCAATTTAAAATGCCAAACGAACTCCACTCTCCTTGGCCAAAATAATGTATTTTATATTTAACCTTTTTGTGAAAACTTTCATACTAAAATTACAATAAAAAGTCATTTAGCTGGAAATGCCCCCAACTAGTTTAAGTAATGCAATAATCATTACAATCATGACTTTTTAATTTGGTTGAACACTTGGAAAAATGGGAAAAGTCTAGGATGCCTACACACACACACACACACACACACACACACACACTCACACAACATTTGTCAAAATGGAAGCTTGCTGTTGCCCTTTGCTTTTCTTCAGGTCTCCCTTTGTGAAGAAAAACCCCTATTCCGTAAAACTACTGTTTGGAATTCTCTGCTATTCTTTGGACGGCCTCTTATTCTGAAAAAATAAGTTTGCTTTCTAGCCTGCTTGAATAGTGGGGGAGATAAACTTAGCTGTCTGACCTCGTAGGCCAGAGACTAGATACACCCAATGCCATGCCAGGTGCTTTTTTTAATTGGATAGAACTGTGTAGTTTTCAAGGCCGCCGCCAGCAAGCACACAAAGGGCTGGCTCTTCCATAAAAAGGGAAGTTCTGCTTGTAGCTTTGCTTAGAATTTGGATTCATTTCCCTAAGCCTGCCGCGGTGAATAAAGTGTAACTCCAAACTCTCAGAGCGCTGTTTGGTTCTTGTCCGGTTTTTCTGTAACACCTTAACTTGTCTATAGTGACCTTTCACTATTTCAGACACGTGTAAGTGAAATTCACCCTCGGGGCTCTTCTTTCAAGGCTATTTTGGCTGGACTGTCCTCCAGGTTAGGGATGGAGTATGTAGTATAAGCCGCCATGCATTTAAAAGTCTTTTTTTTTCAGCAGCCACATTTCAGCCCCAGCCTTTCAGGACCATTAGCAGCTGTTCTCATCTCACAAGCGCAGAAACCAAAGTCTGGGAGGGCGATTTCGCAGGATGCAGGCGAGAGGCTGCGCAGAGCCCAAAGCCGAGCTCCAGGTGCAGGTAACAAAGCCCGACGTCACCAGGAGGGGCCGGGCGCTCCGAGGTGGGCGGGCCGGAAGC